GTCCCACAGGGACTTCACCTACCCACACAAAGATGGCGGAGCCCTGAATCAAGATCGGGGTAGAAAATAAGGATTAAAAAATAGGTAATGTGGGGGGCTTAGGGGCATTTGGGGGTGACTAGTGGGTCAATTGGATGTAGTGGAGGCGGGAGGGGGGTTAAAAAAAAAACGGGTTTCGGCATGACAGTGCCGCTTTAAGTTAAAAACAAATATGGAGAAAAAGTAGATTAACATTCTTCAATCATTGCCTATGTGTGTGTCAAAATAAAATGTGTCTCTTTAATTTTGTATTTGGTATCAATTCTGCAGGGCCAATCCAGATTAGGTTTAAAAAAAAAAAGACAACTTTTTTTTAGCAGATTTTGCACATGCTTAGTCTCCTTTAAGGAGGAATTTCAGCGGATTCCCAATGAGTTGCCATTTGGGCAGCTGCCCATGAATGGAGTCATGGAATTGGCCTCTCTATTCAGGGACCACCATTGGCTCATAGCACCAGGATGTGGAGTTACAGTGCTCACAGGAGAGAGAAGCAAAAAGTCCTCTTGGTAGTAGAGTAGAATGGGCACAGCAGTAGCAGTTTCTGGCCCCTACCAAATGCATACCATCCATTGTAGACTGAATACATTCCGGCAGTAACAGCGATCATCATTAATGATCCTTTTGGAACTAATGTTCAGACAACACGCTCTAATAGAAATTAATGTAACTTAAAAGACTTTAGTTACATTAAGGAACAATGGTATTAATAATAGAAGCATCAAATAGTTAATTCCCTTGTTATGGTAAATCAGTGAGGATGGTGGCCTATGTGTACCTAATACGAACATATGCATTTGGTCTTAAGCTATATCCTAGTTCCCAATGGCAACACATACACTGGTGATATTGTAGCCTTATTGGCATATTGGCACCTTCCCCACTCCAATTACAATAACGGAGAGGAGTGTCTTAGATTATTTTGATTGTCGCACATACAATGTGGGCAGAGATTTCAGCCATTGGGATGCTCCTAGGCATTCATTGGATAAAGAACATGATAGGCAGGCATGAATTTGCTTTAAAAAAAAAAAAAAAACACAACACATCCATTTATCCCTTACAAAATGGCGATATGAGAACCGAAACGCGTCAGACTCTATTCATTTTACACTTCACCTCACACTTACACTGATGGTGCATGTGCTTATTCGGATCTCTATCTAGAGGCACATGTTTTTAATTTTTCTTTTAGTGTATGTTAGCTGACATCTTTTGGCATTGAAAGGGTTGGTTGTGGCAGACCACAGTATATCGCCACCATGGATTTCCCTTTCCCACAGTAAAGTAGCTCTATCGACCATGAGAGTAAATATCGCTTGTATCGCCTTTCACCCCACACATTAGTCATGACTGAATACTTCGAGTAGATCTTTTAATTACAGGCAAGTATTCTCAATTTATACATACAGTAAACTCTTCCCTGTGCCTGAGAGATAATGAGTCAGGAAACTTAGAATTAAATTATCTACCGGCTACAGAAAAATATAAAAAAAAAATTATAACACCCCAAAAGTACCCGCAAAATCCACGGATACCCCTCTGAGTGCTCAACATATCCAAAAAGCACTCAGATTGGTTCAGGGGTTTGGAATTGCCACCGGGATAAAGGTTTGACCGGCCGGCCACGAAGTAGAAGCCCAAAATAGTTCCAGAGAAATAGTGGCAGCAGCCGGTCAAACAAACACACACATTTCCCCCCAACACTCACAATTATTACATTTAAAAAAAAAAAAAAAATTTAATTCACCTAGCCTCCCTACTTTTGGGATAACTGGGTGGATTTTTCACCTTGGGTCCAGTGGGGCTGCTGGGCAGGAAGGCGGCTGGACGAGCAGGCGCTCTACGTTTTCAGCGAGGGAGCACTTTCCCCTGAGCTCTCTCTGCTCAGCTCCCTCACACGCCACAGAGTGATGTCGGGAGCCGGAATATAATGTCATAACCCGGCTCCCAGCATTACTGCTGGTTGCGCGAGGAAGCTGAGAGAGCTCAGGGGAAAGTGCTCCCTTGCTGCCGGCCTGGGAAACAACTGGCCGCCTGCCCTGAGGGGAGCCTAATGGTGGCCAGCTCTTGGACTCCCATAAAACAAGGCAAACAAGGTATTTGCCTGGGCATTTGAGGGCGGCGTTTTTTGCCGCCCCCTGGAAATTGCCACCCAAGGCAAATGCCTTGTTTGCCTCGCGGTAGATATATCCCTGGTGATATGCGATCCTTTTGGTGATCACACAATAACACAATCATTACGATAACCAAGTATCAGCCCTCTACCTCACCCTATGACCTCCATTTCCATTTAGACTGGCATTCTATATGGGCAGTTGAGCCCTATGCCGTCACACAGGTGTCTCATGTGCTGATTTGCATTAAAAGCAGTGTTTTTACCTATGACCTTTTATCCTTGTTTCACATGCTCTCACTCACAACAAATTAAAAAACAAAAATAATATTGATACAAATTGCTACTTGCTCTAAATTTGTTCCAAACATACTGGAGTTGTTCCTTTCTGCTTGTGTATTAGTAACACTGTATATAACTGTTACCAATTTAATGTTTATTCAAGAATGTGACATCAGTTTGCCAAGTTCTTATATTTTAGTACATACCTAGTTTCTTTTATATTTGACAAGTAGTTGACATACAGAAAATAAAAATAGACAAGAGGTGAAAAAGGCCCTGCTCAAGCAAGCCTACACTATAAGAGCAGTACTTACCTAGGTGCATTTTTGTGCTATTTTTGTTTGTCCGAATTCTTCCTGAAACATTCACATGGATGTAATTTGTCCAAACGCCACGTGGTCGAATTTCGATTCATTCAAACAAAATTATGTTTGGATGAATTGAATTGGAAAAAAATGAATTTTGCAAATTTTATGTATTTTTTTTTTTTACTCTGTGTCAGCCAGAGCAGTGCAACATTTATAAATATTCAACATGGAATCTTGACAGACACCACACATATATAAAGGGATACTCCAGGCACCCAGACCATTTCTGCCCATTGGAGTGGTCTGGGTGGCAACTCCCACTACCCTTAACCCTGCAAGTGTAATTATTGTAGTTTTCATAAACTGCAATACACCCCGTTCCAAATTATTATGCATATGATATTTTTCTCATATACCTAAATAATTGATGCAAATAACAGTCAGCATAATTCTCATGTTATCAACTATTAAGAGTACAATTCAAATTGTATTGAACAAACCTCCTAATGATAATATTTTTTTTTTAAACATAAAAAAATAAAACTTACAATGCACTGTTCCAAATTATTATGCACAGTAAGTTTCAAAACACTTTATAGCTTGTAAAGAACTGAAAATTGTCATTTGTTGTGTTTGCAGCATATTTAATGAAATTAAAAGCTATTTCAATCAAACTTATAACAACATTTTAACAGGTCACGTTACATTTTAACATAGGACCCCTTATTTGATAGCAGCTTCACAAGTCTTGCATCCATTGAACTTGTGAGTTTTTGGACAGTTTCTGCTTGAATTTGTTTGCAAGATGTCAGAATAGCCTCCCATAGCTGCTGTTTGGATGTAAACTGCCTCCCACTCTCATATATCTTTTGCTTGAGGATGCTCCAAAGGTTCTCAATAGGATTGAGGTCAGGGGAGGATGGAGGCCACACCATGATTTTCTCTCATTTTATCCCCATAGCAGCCATTGATGCAGAGGTATTCTTTGCAGAATGAGATGGTGCATTGTCATGCATGAAGATGATTTTATTACGGAAAGCATAGTTCTTCCTTCTGTACCAGGGAAGAAAGTGATGAGTCAGAAACTCCACATACTTTGCAGAGCTCATCTTTACACCATCGGGGACCCTAAAGGGGCCGACCAGCTCTCTTCCCATGATTCCGGCCCAAAACATGACTCCACCACCGCCTTGCTGACGTCGCAGCCTTGTTGGAACAGGGTGGCTGTCCACCAATCATCTACTACTCCATCCATCTGGACCATCCAGGGTTGCAGGGCACTCATCAGTGAACAGGACTGTTTGGAAATTAGTCTTCCTGTATTTTTCTGCCCAATGCAGCAGTTTCTGCTTGTGAGCATTGGTTAGTGGTGGCCGAATAGAAGGTTTATGCACAGTTGCAAGACTCTGGAGGACTCTACACCTTGATGTCCGTGGGACTCCAGAGGCACCAGCAGCTTCAAATATCTGCTGCTATGTAATGGTATTTTAGCAGCTGCTCGCTTGATCCGATGCATGGATCTGGCAGAAATCTTCCTCAATGTGCCTTTATCTGCATTAAACCATCTGTGCTCTGAATCAGCCACAAATCTCTTAATAGTGCAATGATCACGATTAAGCTTTCGTGAAATATCTAATGTTTTCATACATCATCCAAGGTATTGAACTATTTCACTCTTTTCGGCAGCAGAGGGATCCTTTTTCTTCCCCATATTGCGTGAAAATGGTGTGCTGCTTAATAATATGGAACACCCTCCTTTAGTAGTTTTTCCTTAAATTGGGCTCACCTGGCAATCTAATTAATACAGGTGTCCGAGATTGTTTTCAGTGATCAAAAGAGCCCTAAGACACAATGCCATCCATGGGTTAAACTGAAAAACAAAATATTTCATCTTTGTGACACTTAAATAGAATTTGCATAATAATTTGGAACAGGGTGTATTTACATTGCAGGGTAAAGTCCTCCTCTAGTGGCTGTCTACTAGACAGCCACTAGAGGACACTTCTGTGTTCATAGAACACGAAAAGTGGTTTAAAACTACGCTGGATGTCCTTACGCAATGTGAGGACCTCCAGTGTCGCCAAAATCCCCATAGGAAAGCATTATTCAATGCATTCCTATGGGGAGGTCTAATGGGCGTGCGGGGAGGAGCGTAGGCGGAGCCTGACCCAGCGCCGAGGGACATCGCCGCTGGACTCCGGTAAGTCACTGAAGGGGTTTTAATTTGGGATGGGAGGTGAGAGGTAGAGGGGCACTAGAGGGTCCTGCAGTGCCAGGAAAACTAATATGTTTTCCTGGCACTGGAGAATCCCTTTAATTGGCAAGGGATCACTTTTGAAGCCATTGATGATATTACCACAGGGAATGATAGACATAAAGAATAGTATCTGTACAAAGTATTCAGTTCAATGAAGCTGTTACTATAATGGAGTGGAATATTTTTGTTTTTCCAAACTGGCAGGTATGGCCTATATTTACAAAATATGTTGTTAGTATATCTCAACGCTTTAAATTTAGAGATGGGAAAGAGGTTGTGGACGGGGCTGGGCTGTTCAGATACATTTTATGTGACTCACTAATAAAAATGTAGGTAACGAAAATGTAATTTAGAACAAGAACAATGTATCGTATTTACGAAGACTTATTTCTAAACACATTTCTTGTACTGTGGTTTAAAGATACATTACTGTGAGGATTATTGCTGTTTAGCTCTGGTATACATTTAGACACACTAAAAATACCAATGACAGAAAAGAGGGACAGAGGGATTTGAGCTTAAAATAGTGACTGACTCTCCTAAATATGGACACTCAGGCAGTATGCATAAGCCTGGCAAAGCAACATTTGGGTTATTATTATTATTGGCATTTATAAATATAATATATAGTCATAAGGCTCCATCTGCTCTTTGCCACCTCTATCCTACAGGTTATTCCATGACAGGAAATTACAATTAGAGAGCCCTCAATGGGTTCAGCAAGGTGCCCTCCCTGGCGGTGATCTTCTTACTGGGGGGATATATGAACCAGACCACCACTCACTGCCCATCTTACCCTGTTGGCAGGGCAGTTACGAAAGCGAGGCTTGACCCGCAGAGCGCGTGAAGCAGCATGGCGGCCATCACGTGTTATCAGAACACAGCTGCTAGTGGACGGCGGGACCAAGTTCCGGCATGCACCGCGAGTAAACAGGGATGGCGGATGAGGAAGGTGAAGAGGATCCCGGCATCCATAACATGGGCAATCAGCTGCAACTCGTCCCTGGTAATGACGTGCACTGTCCTACTAATTGTGCAGAGTTATGACGTCACAGGGTAATTGCAAAGAGGGTGTAACGGTACTAGTGCCCAGGTCACTTGTTAATGTGGCTTGCCAGTCTCTGGCTGCTTTCACTTTCCAATGTGCGACACTGTCTATAGCGCTGACATGTTAGCAGCGCTGTACAACAGGCACTGGGATAAGTGAAATCCATCAGAATTTACATGCATAAGGCTGGTCATTACTGCTCTGGGAATACAGGAGTCAATAAAACATTGAACATAAATTCTAAATTTAATGTAATGTTTCTTATTCTTTTTTTAATTTAATTTTTATTTTTTAAGAGTTTACATTTGACTTCACAATCCAGATGACTCCGGGCACAGCCAGGCCACATATTGCATTAGACTACTTGAGGAAGAGAAAGTGAAACTTTGTAATTGTTGAGTGACAGGTGCTAAGGGCACTCCTTATACCAGTCATTGACAGCGAGCTAAGATGGGAGGGCTCCTTTCTGAATTAAGCTAAATCCAATGCATTTAATTTTATTTCAATACATCACCAACAATCACTTTTTAAATATATGGGAGAGGTAAATATAATATGATCGATAAATCCTGGAAAGTCACGATTAGCCTTTAAGTATTAGGATTTGCCCATAGGGTTATCTGACCTACTATTTTTCTTGGACACACTTTACCTCTGCATGGTAATGGGCAATGCATGCCCCTTGGTCAAGGGGCTGGTCTAGGGCCTAGACTCTAGGGGCATGCATTGTAGTGCGACTCCACTTGGGAGCTGATGTTGGTGGGGGAGGAGAGGTCACCAGCGCTGAGGGAGCCCGACGCTGGATTAAGGTAAGTAACTAAAGGGGTTTTAACCCCTTCAGGGCCAAGGGAGGGGGGCCCTGAGGGTGGGTGGTGGGACTTAAGGGTTATATATGTCAGGAGTTTGTTTTCCTGACACTATAGTGATCTTTTGATCTCCAGTGCTAAAACTCCCTTGGTGCTTCTGACCACTCTGTCTCCCATAACGTCATTCTGGATGCATCTCTTCCACCTTGAATGTTCTACCTAATGCTCCTCAGAGAGCGTTGAATTCAATGCTTTCCAATGATCTGCATCGCTTGATAGAGTTTGATTTGGTTGTTCCAGAGGAAGTACCTCTAGTGACTGTCTGAAATGACTAGAACACCTAACCCAGCAATGTAAACAACAGTGTGCACAAAACTGCAATGTTCTACATTGCAGGGTAAAAACAAGGCCACTGCACCCAGACAACTTCATTGAAGTGGTCTGCATGCATTTAGTGGTCATTTAAGCTATTAAATTGGCTTATTAAAGGGGAACTGTAGCTTCAATGGCAATTTATCAGCTAAATAAAACATTGGAAATGACAACTTGTTCTAGCCTTTTTTCATGGACTGCTGTTTTCTTTTAAATGTACATTAAAGATTTAGTAGCTGACATCTCAATCTAGTTCAGTCCAGGCTCTGCCAAGTTTTCCAATGCAAAGAAAGAGAACAGAAATTTTTTTCCTCTTCTGAATAGTTATGGCTAATGGCAGGAAAGGCCAATAATTAGAATAATGACTAACAAGGAGTCAAGAATGATGCACCCAGTTCTAGGATATAGAAAAACACAGCAATGTAGAACATTTAAAGGAACACTACAGTGTTATGGATACAAACCTGTATTCTTAGTCTTATAGTGTTTCAGACCCCTCCCCCGCGAACTTAAAAGGATTTTAGCTATGCTCCTGTGTCCATGCGATTTGTGGTCTTAAGAAAAAAAAAAAAAATTCCCCTCTGGTTCAAATCATCAATCCTGATGATATCAAGGTGGTACAATTGTGGCTTTTAGGCAAGCAGAGGAGGCTTGTGCACAGGGCCGGACTGGGAAAAAAATTAGGCCCGGGCATTTTTCAATCAGAGCGGCCCCCTAAGAAAGGGGCGGGGACAGAGAGTGTGTGTTTTGTCATCACTAATGACAACACGCCCCCTCTCAAAGTGAGCATGTTGGCTCAATGCCCAGAGCCCTGCTGAAGAGCTCTGGCATTAGAAAAAGGCCCTGAATTTGTTCTGCGCAGCGCAAGCAAATGTAATAACATGCTTGTGCTGTGTTTGCGTTTAAATTGTCTCTGATGTCTCCACAAGTGGGATACCAGAGGACAAATGGGCCAGGAAAGTGCATGGTGCATATGTTTGGAGCCTGCTTGTGGGATTGCGTGTGTGTAGAGTGTGGTGTGGTATTGTATAAATAGGTCAATTTAATTTGTGTTTGTGGTGTAATATGTGTAGCTAGGGGCTGTAGAGAGTGTGTGTATAGGGGGCATAGTTTTATAGGGGATGCAGCGAGTGTGTGCATACGGGCTGAAGTGTGTGTATAGGTGACGTAGTGTGTGTAGGGGTTGCAGAGAGGGTGTGTTTAGAGAATGTAGTATGTGTTTGCTGACAAGGAATGTAGTGTGTGTGTGTAGGAGATCTACTGTGTAAATGACCCAGTGTGTGTGTGTGTGTGTGTGTGTAGAGGATTAAGAGTGCATATAGGGTAAGGGATCTAGTGTGTATCTGGAGCGTAATGTGTGTAGTGGTGCAGTGTAAGGGGTGCTGTAGTGTGTGTGTGTGTGTGTGTGTGTGTATATATATATATATATATATATTTGGACTTATTGTATGTGTGAGGGGCGCAGTGTGTGTATGTAAGAGGGGTGCTGTGTGTGAGGGTGTTTTTATCTGCTGTCACATTCTAGGTTTCTAATTTTCTTTGCCTGTTAACTCACTGAGGGTTATTTTATATATATATATATATATATATATATATATGTGTGTGTGCTGTATATGTGTGGGAGTGTGCTGTGTGTGTCTGGGGGGTGCTGTGTGAGTCTGGGTGCAGTGTGTGTCTGGGGTGCGCTGTGTGTGTCTGGGGGTGCGCTGTGTGTGTCTGGGGCGGTGCTGTGTCTGGGGGGTGCTGTGTCTGGGTGCTGTGTGTGAGGGTGTTTTTATCTGCTGTCACATTCTAGGTTTCTAATTTTCTTTGTCTGTTAACTCACTGAGGGTTATTTTATATATATATATATATATATATATATATATGTGTGTGTGTGTGCTGTATATGTGTGGGAGTGTGCTGTGTGTGTCTGGGTGCTGTGTGTGTCTGGGGGGTGCTGTGTGTGTCTGGGGGGTGCTGTGTGTGTCTGGGTGCGCTGTGTGTGTCTGTGGGTGCAGTGTGTGTCTGTGGGTGCAGTGTGTGTCTGGGTGCGCTGTGTGTGTCTGGGTGCGCTGTGTGTGTCTGGGTGCGCTGTGTGTTTGGGGGCTGTGTCGGGGGGTGCTCTGTGTGTCTGGGGGGGGGGTGCTGTGTCTGGGGGCTGTGTGTTTGTGAGTGAATGTATTTTTTTATTTAAATTTAAATATTTTTTTTTTACTAATAAAAAAAAATAATAATAATAATATTTCCCCCCCTCCCTTCTTCTCTACCTTTATCCTG